TGTCAATTTAAATTTTTTTAAATTTTCATATAATAAAACTACAAACTGTTTAATAAATTAATTAATGTTTAGATTTTAAGTCACTTATTTAATATTTTGGTTACAATAATGCTAATTTTTAAATTAATATGTGTATTAAAACTCTGTCTATGTTTTATTTAATACATTGATTCGTGTTTAATTGATACAAGAAAACAAAGATTACTTTAAAATTAAACAAGTTAAAGTATATATTATGTTTTAACACAAAATGTAATGACAACATTTTAATTTTACTTCATTCCGAAAACATTTTTCTTATTAATTATTATGCCATTTAACAAACACGTGTTCTCGAAAACGTTTTTGTTTTATTTTTCTTTGGTTTTTGGTTAAAATATCAAAATTATAATTATTTGTTTTTTTCTGGTAATAATTTATTTTTTAAATACTTTTGGTTTTATTATTTAAAATAACCGTATAAAGTTCAGTTTTGAGCATTTTATTTGAAAACATTCCCAAAACAGCATATTTTTTTGAAATTTTTCCTTAAACACTTAAATAGCCTAAAGCTAAAAAAAACATGTTTTTTTTTCAATAAATTATTACCAAATTTGATTTTTGCCTTTGTTTTCAAAATAAAATTATTATACAGTGCTCATTGGTTTCAAATCGATAATATTTTTTAATAAATCGATTATGTTTTTATATATATCGACAGTATTTTTTATGGTTTATATTGTATTTAATGAATTATATTACTTTTAATGAAATAGACCATGTTTTTTTATAAATTATATGGCATTTTTCTAATTTATACAACATTTTTAATAAAATCAATAGTTTTTTCTAAAATATAGAGTATTTTTGATAACTTATATAACTTTTGTTTGAAAATATTTTGCTTTTTTACAAATTATAGGATATTCCCGAATATTAGGAATAAAAATACACATAATAAGTAAGTTATTATTTGTTAAAAATACTTAATATGTTACTATATTTATACTATTATATAACTGCGTTTTAATCTATTCTTATTGTTTATTTTAATACAAATTTTTACAATTATGATACATAATAAAAATAATTAATTTATAATATAACGTTATCAATAATTATGGCTATTATTTTATTATAAAATATATAATTATATATATTATATATAATATATATCATTATAATAGACTAATAAATGAACTATATTAACCATACACTGTTTAAAGACATTTGATTAAATATTTTCTTGGTTGTACACTCGAGGCCACACAATTTCCCTAACATTTTCAAAACAACTTTGGCACTCTTCTGGTTTGATAGTTAAAAAACCATCTCTGATTTTTTCTAAAAAAAATTTTCGATTCCAATTCAAGTTCTCACATTTTTTTCAACCCTACTTTTACAAATCCCAAATATATTTTCAATTGGGTTTAGTGCTGGTGAGTACGCAGCATTTAACACGACAGTGTGGTTTGTATTATCGAGCATTCTTCTCATAATGTTGTGAATATCACAATTATCCACCCCAAAACGCATTGTCTCTGTTTTATATCATACTCATGAATTAGGTAAGTAGTCTTCGAAAGAATTCAACGTGTTTGTTCCACAAACCACATTGCAATAAGAGAGTCCGTCACAATCAACTGCGCATATGGAGGTGAGGCGAAAACCACCTTTTGATTTGGTGATGAAGGCTTCCTTGCCTCTAACTGACCAACCATATGCAGGAGTTGATGCTACAGTCCAACTGGTTTCATCTATACAAACCCAACTTGCTCCACCTGTTATATAACCCCTTAGAGAGTTTACTGCTGCAACCCTTTTTTCTTTATTATCTGGCGTGTTTCTTGTTTGCCCTCTTGTCTTTGTTCTTTTGAAAGAAAAATGGGGAATTCTCTCTCTTTAATTGTTGCTGTTTTACCACTCATTAAATTTCCAATTGATGATATCGAAGGTGCATAAAGATCAATGTCCTCTTTAGTAACAGCAACCTTGGATATTTTTGGAATATCCAAAAATATTTCATCAACATCTTCTTCTTTATGTAATTTTTCTTTTTGTGCTATCATTTTTCTAATTGAAGTTATTTTTGTTGTTGTGTCTTCTTCAATAGCTTTTTCTACCAATTTTTGAAAAAGTAAAGTACGGCTTTGTCTTCTATAATGATTTTTGGATTTATTGATATCCCTTTTCTTAACATTGAAAGATACTTTTCAATGTTTATTTTTTTAATCCCAATTATTTTGCATATTGTGAAGTATTCATGTTATCACCATTTTACTCAATAGTTCAACCAAACAATCTCTTTGATCAATTGTAACACGAGAATAATGTCGTGTAATTGTTTTCTTCTTTTTTGAATCCAATTTTCGGGGCCGACCCGTGATCTTTTTTAAAGAGGTGGGATATCTTGATGGGGCAACAACACAAATTGTACAGGTTGCCCTTGCATGAATAATTGCGGATTTTCATGATAGTCTTTTCTTGCTCCTGGATCTCTTCTGTCGATATAATCCAATTGCATGATATCATTTTTTGCCCGTTATTTAAATATACATTATTATATTAATAAATATCCTCATTGTGAAGAGGTTCTAAATAAGAATAGATTAAAACGCAGTTATATAATAGTATAAATATAGTAACATATTAAGTATTTTTAACAAATAATAACTTACTTATTATGTGTATTTTTATTCCTAATATTCGGGAATATCCTATAATTTGTAAAAAAGCAAAATATTTTCAAACAAAAGTTATATAAGTTATCAAAAATACTCTATATTTTAGAAAAAACTATTGATTTTATTAAAAATGTTGTATAAATTAGAAAAATGCCATATAATTTATAAAAAAACATGGTCTATTTCATTAAAAGTAATATAATTCATTAAATACAATATAAACCATAAAAAATACTGTCGATATATATAAAAACATAATCGATTTATTAAAAAATATTATCGATTTGAAACCAATGAGCACTGTATAATAATTTATATAAAAATAATTTTTCAAGTAAAGACATAATAAAATAATAATTTTATAATCATGATAACATAAACTAATATTATAGAAATTTTTGAATTTTGCAAAACAGACAAAATGATGTTTGGAGAATAAAAACTTTTGTAAACAATTGTTTTATAATATTAATTAAATAACTAAATAAAAAACTAAACACTCTTTTTGTTTTTGTATCTATTTATCTTATTATATATTATAACAATTTTAATAGATTATTTTTTGTTTTTTATTTAGATTTATTTTTAATGACATGAACTAAATTATCTATAAAAATACATTATTGAATTTATAAAGCAATTTGCTGTTCATTTCGTCAACACCAACGTAAACCAAATTGAATTGTGTTTGTTATGATTTGTTTTCATATTATTAATATACGTCTTATTTATGCAACAAAATTTGTTATTGTATATTTGATATATTATTATTTAATAAAACAAATTTGGGGTCTGAGATACAGTAAAATTTCATAAAAGTGGCACTTCGGAAGAGCGGGTTCTTTCAAGAGTAAGACACTTTAGACTGAAACAAAAATCGAGTTCTCTATAGAGTGGTAATTAAGGTTTGATTGTCTAAAATGACCGTTCTTGAGAAAGCAAAAAATAC